GGACCTTGGAGGTCTTCTAGTCCAACCCCCCGCTCAGGCAGGAAACCCGTTTCAGACAAATGGTTGTCCAGTCTTTTCTTAAAAACCTCCAGTGTTGAAGCATTAACACATTAAAGCATTAGGGAAGATTAAATATTCTGCGTTATATCATGGGGTGTCCTATTGCGGACTTATACATTCAAGATAACATTTAATGTCCTTCCGTGTTCAAACAAGTCCAGAATACAGGAAGTCCTTGACTTATGACCACAACTGGGACAGAATGTTAAGCAAAGAGTTTGTTAAGTCAGGGGTCCTCAACCTGGGCAATTTTAAGACTTGTGGACTTCAACTCCCAGAATTCCTCAGCCAGAATTCTGAGAGTTGAAGTCCACAAATCTTAAAGTGGCTAAGGTTGAGAACCCCTGTGTTAAGTGATTTCTGCCTGATGTTATGAGCATTTTACCCCCCAGTTGTTAAGTGAATCACATGGTTGTTAAGCAAATCTGGGCAGCTCCCACAGACCGTGCTTGTCAGATGATGCCTGGGAAGGTTGCAGATGGCAATCATGTGACACCCCCCCCCCCGAGGATGCTGCAATCATTGCAGGTACATGCCAGTTGCCAAGCATCTGAATTTTGATCATGTGACCATGGGGATGCTGTGTTGGTTGTAAGTGTGAGCATCAGTTGTTAGTCACTTTTTCTAGGGCTGTTGTAACTTTGAATGGTCATAAACAAATGGTTCTGTGTTGAGGACCACCTCAACAAGCTGAATTTTGCCAATACTGTATGAAAAAAAAACCTTTATGTCAGTCTTGTCTCACTTCAGAGTTGTGGGGTGGTTCATAAATCCTGATTATTTTGGGACTCAGGATTCATTCCCTTAAGACATTAGATAGGAAACAGGAGAAGTCTATTGAGCACTAAATACAGAATAGGACCACAGTACTTTAGGTGTTTTTTGGATACCTTCTGGGTCCCTTCTTCATTTTATTAGATGGCGTAGAACTTAGAACCAGGAAGCTTTGAACCTCTGTAATCCATTTGTAAAATAGTCACATCTGGATCATGTGGCTTCTCCAATCCTTCAGTTTTTTAGGTGTTCAGTAAAATCAATATTGTTTGTTTCAGAATATCTTTCCTTCCTCTTCTTCCTTCCTTCCTTCCTTCCTTCCTTCCTTCCTTCCTTCCTTCCTTCCTTCCTTCCTTCCTTCCTTCCTTCCTTCCTTCCTTCCTTCCTTTCTCCCTCCCTCCCTCCCTCCCTCCTTCCTTCCCTCCCTCCATCCCTTTCTCTCTCTCTCCTCCCTCCCTCCCTCCCTCTTTTTTTTTCTCTCTCTGTCTCATTCTCTCTCTCTTGTTTTCAAATTGTACTTTATGGAGCCAGATGAATTATTCTGTTTGTAATTTTGGCGACATTCTGACAAGCAAAGTCAATGGGAGAAGCCAGAGTCACTTAACAACCATATTACTAACTTAGCAACTGCAGTGATTCACTTAACAACTGTGGCAAGAAAGGTTGTGAAATGGGGCAAAGCTCATTTAACAACTGTTTTGTTTAGCAATAGAAATTTAGGGCTCAATTGTGGTCGTAAATCAAGGACCAACTGCTGAGTGTAAGTTGTTGTGGGTTCTGATGGGCTTCAGATAATGATAAGCAGAATTTCTAAGCAATGCAATTGCTTAGAAATTGTGTCCAATTTTATGACTTTGGTTGTCATGGTTGTTATGTTAACTGAATCACTGCAGTTATTAAATGAATCCTTACATGGTTGTTAAATGAACCAGGGTTTTCCCCCCATTGTCTTTGCTTGTCAGAAACCGGCTGGGAAGATCGCAAATGGTGACTACGCAACCCTGGGATGTGGCAAACATCGTAAATACACGCCGGTTGCCAAGTGCCCAAATGTTGACCATACGACTGTGGGGATGCTGCAACTGTCCTATGTGTGAAGACCAGTTGCAACTCCCTTGCTTCAGTGCCGTTGTAACGCCGAATAGTCACTAAACAAATGGTTGTAATTTGAGGACTTCCTTTGTGTTTCAATTCACGCAAAGCAAGCAAGGGACATTATTTGTCCAAATCTTAAGAAGGAATCGGAACTGCCACGTTTCAGTTTTGTTTTGGGAACCTGGGGTGTGCATCTCACGAGGAAAAGTGTAAAGTGTGGACAGAGGGCATCGCCAAGCTAGAGTCCTTCTGATGTGCTGGGACTACATTTCCCAGAATTCTCAGAGAGGATTATTTATTTATTTATTTGCAGCTAACCCTCGACTTACAACAGTTCATTTAGTGACCGTTCGAATTACAACGGCACTGAAAAAAAGTGACTTATGACTGTTTTTCACACTTATGACCGTTGCAGCATCCCCATGGGTCACGTGATCAAAATTCAGATGCTTGGCCACTGGTTCATATTTATGACGGTTGCAGTGTCCCGGGGTCATGTGATCCCCTTTTGTGAACTTCTGACAAGCAAAGTCAATGGGGAAGCAAGATTCACTTAACAACCGGGTCACTAACTAAACAACTGCAATGATTCACTTATCAACTGTGGCAAGGTTGTAAAATGGGGCGAAACTCACGTAACAAATGTTTCACTTAGCAATGTAAATTTGGGGCAAAACCATTGGTGGGATTCAGCCAGTTTGCACCAGTTCGGTTTTTTGTTGCCCAGGTCCAGAATGGACTTCTGGAAATGGCATCCAGTCAGAGAACTGGTTGTTCCCATATTTGAATCCCACAACTGGGCTCAATTGTAGCCATAACTCAAGGACTACCTCTCTCTCTCTCTCTCTCTCTCTCTCTCTCTCTCTCTCTCTCTCTCTCCCCTCCCTCCCTCCCTCTCTCTCTCTCTCTCTCTCTCTGCTGTAAGTTTTGCTGGAAGGGAGGGAGGGAAGGAAGGAAGTCCCGCCTTAGCACTTGGCCACCAGCAGCCCTGCCATTGACTTTGCTTGTCAAAAGGTTGCAGAAGGGGATCACATGACCCTGGAACACTGTGACCATCATCAATATGAATCAGTTGCCAATGCCCAGCATCCAAATACAAACCACATGACTCTGGGCATGCTGCAATGGTCATAAGTGTGAAAAATGGTCATAAGTCATTTCAGTGCAATTGCAACTTTGAACAGGTTTTTTTTTTTTTGGTCATCAAGTTTTTGATACCTTGCTAGGTGGTGCTTGAATATTGCCATATCCTAAAAGTGGTACAATCGGTGAAAAGGTTGAAAAGCCCTGCTCTAGGCGGATTACAATATTAAAAAAAAGAAAACTATATATAAATAATGCTACAAAATTATAAGATAGAAAACGTGGCAGTTAAAAGATGGGGAGGGAGAGAATAGGACGAGCAGAGTGGAGAGATGGGGATAATAAAGCCCCTGTTTGAAAGCTCCAAGCCAACGGACAGTGTCAGATCTGTCCAAAGGGAAGGCAGGTTAATGGACAGAAATGTAAAGAATCTGAATAAAAGAATGGCAGCTTAGAATTAGGCACTCTGTGTCATCTATTGTATAAAAAGGGGAGGGGCAGGAATGGACATCCTTTTCCTCCTGATGTGCCTCCAATCAATAATCACATAACGAGTCCCTTGTAAAACAAAGTTGGAACAAGAAGAATCTGCTTTGCCAACGAGGCCTTCAGCTGAGTCAATACGTGTTATCTTTATCACACTGGGACAGGAAAAGCTTTATTTGCTGACAAATCTCTGGGTGTTGTGAGAAATAATGGTTGTGAATTATCTCAAACTGATAGCTGCGCAGCAGGGTGATGGGCCCTGTGACAAAATGGCTTTAGAAACACCATCTGGCAGAAAACACCCAAGGAGAGAAGTCTCAGAGATACCCCCGTGTACAGTTTTTATAGAGTTTAAGTCACTTATGAAGTAAAGGAGAAGGCGTAAACTGGCTTCAACATCAGGAATGGTGCTGGTTTGCATAGCAAAAAGAAATGTTGCTGAAGATTTTTATGGTGGACCAAAACAGTCTGCCTTTAAAGGGCTGGGGGAGGAAGGTATAACATTGCTTTGGATTGTGAGGTGGGCAGCGTATAAATTTATTAAACAAATACATAATTCACAAAGAGAATTGTTTGCGGGGGTTGATGTCGCATCAGTCCTGGTTTTCATGTGCCCTCTTGGGAAAACTAATTCTCTATCCTGATTTAAAATCGTAGAATAAAGGAGGGGTGTGGATTGGAGAATAGGATCTACACTGCTTTTTCAAGTTTTCCTGAAAGCTTTCTTCTTGTAAGGCTACATTTTCTATTTAATTCTCAGGTTGAATGACTTTTGATTGTGTTTTTGAGATTCCATTATTATTGTTAAGTTGGAAGGGGGTGATTGTCAATGGTGTTATTATTTTTTTTATTCCGGCACACATATTTGAATCATAGCTGAATCCATGCACATATCTGAAGCACTGTGTGGTCATCTTAGCTATGTTCTAAGAAAACCTAGGAAGAGTTCTTTAGACTGAATTGAACCATGGATAACCAAGAATAACAAAGTTGGAAGGGACCTTGGAGGTCTTCTAGTCCAACCCCCTGCTCAAGCAGGAGATCCTATACCATTTCAGAGAAGTAGTTATCCAATCTCTTGTTAAAAACCTCCAGTGTTGGAGCCCCCACCACTTTTGAAGACAAGCTGTTCCACTGGTTAATTGTTCTCACTGTTAGGGAATTTTGCCTTAATTCCAGACTGCTTCTCTCCTTGATTAGTTTCCATCCGTTGGAAAATTAGGTTGACATACCAAGAAGTGCCAAGCATTGGAGAAATAGCTGTAACAAAAAGTAGGGCATTCACACATCCCCTTGTCCATGTTGCAGTTAAGATAGGTCCAGAAGCCCATGATAATGTTGCTACCTTTTTTTTCTCTTTCCATCAGAAACCGAAATGCAATCTGTTTACCATTAACTCTGAAAGGCAACGGTTAAAAAAGGAAGCCAAATAAATGTTTGGCACAGTTGTCAGTCCTGATGAGTCAGTCCTTACCAATATTTCCCTTTTCTTTCTTTTTCAGGGTTTTGTTTTGTTTTGTTTCGTTTCATTTTCACATTTAGGAGTAACGGCCACTACAAAGAAAACTCAGGATGAAAAGATGGCTGACTTCTTGTTACCACTGGGTACTAACAACTTTCACCGGTTCACACCCGAATCCTTATCGGAGATTGAAAAGCGGATCGCGGCAAAGGTCGGAAAGGATACTAAGCAGGAATATAGAGAGCAGGTGGGAGAGGAAGAAAAACTGCGGCCACAGTTTGACTTGCAAGCATGCAAGAAGTTGCCAGACATCTATGGATCACCCCCATCCGAGCTTATCGGGGAACCACTGGAGGATATTGACCCCTTCTACGGAGATCATAAGGTCAAACCTGTCACCTCTGCACTTATGATTAAGAATAATGGAAGGGAATGAGGTAGAAGGATATTTTCCACAGGAAATAATTTCCTTCCTGGATTAAGGACCTGAGAACTACCGTGTTTCCTTGAAAATAAGACCGGATCTTAGATTAATTTTTGCTCCAAAAGACACATTAGGGCTTATTTTCTGGTTAGGGCTTATATTTGGGGAAATATGGTACTAAATGCATCCGTCTGGCTGATGATCTTAACTTATTTGGGGGGTGGGGCTTATATTACGAGCATCCTGAAAAATCATGCTAGGTCTTATTTTCCAGCTAGGTCTTATTTTGGGGGAAATACAGTATCAGCGTCAAATTCCTGATAGCTAAGATGGGTGGGGTACAATATTGCAATATTAATAATAATAATAATAATAGTAATAATAATAATAATGATGATGATGATGTTGTCTGTGTACAGGTAGTCCTTGACTTATAACCACAGCTGAGTCCCAAATTTTTGTTGTGGAGATGGTTTTTAAATGAACTTCATCACATTTTATGATGTTTCTTGACATAGATTTTAAGTAAATCACTGCAGCTGTTAAGTTTGCAACATGGTTGTTAAGTGAATCTGGCTTCCCCAATTGAAATTGCTTGTCAGAAGGGGATCCCGTGACCGAGGGACCCTGCAACTGTCATAGCTACCGGTATGAATCAAGTTGCCAAGAGTCTGAATTTTGATCATGTGACCATGAGGGTGTTGCAACAGTCATAAGTATGAAAAACTGTCATATGTTACCTTTTTCAGTGCTGTTGTAACTTCAAATGGTCACTAAATGAACTATTATAAATAAAGGACTACCTGTATATGTTTATACTATTTCAAATAAAATCGGGGTTGGGCGTGGATGTTGAATAGATGAAAAATAAAGGTGAGATATAATCTTATATGAGCCATTCCTTTTCTTTCTTGCCCTTTCAAGGGAATTTTTATACCAGATGCTCATATTTGCAGAAAACATTAACCGATGTTCAGGACCCCAAGCCATTAATTTGGCAAGTCTATATAAAATTGGTGAATGGGAGAACAGGAATGGACAACAAAAACTGGTGGAACTGATCTTACCTTTATTGTTTTTAGTCATGAAGCTATGGTGGCATTATTTCTTTTGGTCTCAAGAAGACGGAATAGAATAGAATAGAATAGAATAGAATAGAATAGAATAGAATAGAATAGAATAGAATAGAATAGGAGAGGATAGGATAGGATAGGATAGGATAGGATAGGATATGGAATAGAATATGAAATAGAACAGAATAGAATAGAATAGAATATGGAATGGAATAGAAAATGCAATGGAATATGAAACAGAACAGAATAGAACAGAATAGAGTAGAATAGAATATGGGACGGAACAGAACAGAATAGCTTATTTGGCCAAATGTGAATGGATGCACAGGGACTTTTTCTGTGGTGCAGAAGCTCTCAGTGTACATACGAACAACAAAGTAATATAATCATAAGATACCAATAGTAGAAGGTAAAGGAAAAGATGAGAAGGATAATAGTAATGCAGCCCTACTACCTATAAAGAAGAAAAAGTACAGGTGGAGAAGAGGTTAATTCCTTTTGTTTACTACTCTAAATTGTTTTGCATTACCCCACTTGATATGGATTTTGGAACAGACCTTTTTTTTTGTACTTCTGATCTTTTTGCTTATGCTTAATTTGATCTTTAGCTTTCTGCATCCTAATGATACTTTCTATGTGATGCTTTAATTCCACAGAAATATATAGTCTCCTTGTCCTTCCAAGATGCTGGATTGGGAATGATCTAGTTTTTTTGACCCAGCAAACCTCTGCATTAGCTTAGTCAATCAATACCAGATAGGATATGGAATGGAATGTCCTCAGGACTGCCCCCTCATTAATTTTTCACCTTTATTCTATGGATGAACCTCAGGCTAGCATAGGGTCTTCTGGACTTTTCAGTCCCAATGTAATTAGAAATGCTTTATTGGAATGGGCTGATCTTTGCATTTTATTAATAATTTTTGCACCTGGTTAACCTCAAAAACAAAATAGGGGCAGGCTTGGTTAATACTCTTGGTAAAAACAAAGCTATAGATTAGAATGAGAAGTTTAAAATATATTAGAAAAAAGCAGCAGTAGATCACTTCCATATTTGGCCATGAAGAGTACTTGGATGTGCCCATTAAAGCAGGGGTCCCCAACCATGGCAACTTTAAGACTGTGGACTTCAATTCCCAGAAGTTGAAGTCCACAAGTCTTAAAGTTGCCAAGGTTGGGGACCCCTGCATTAAAGTCTCCAGAAATTAAACTCAACTTGAAGGGAATTTTACCTTTCATAAGAAAAAGTTTGCTGGTCACTTAAAGAAACCATCGTTAAATGGGGCAGTTAAATAGTTAAAGATCTGTTCAAGATTATAAACTATGATGTCATAACAGGTTCACCACAAGTGAGCATTTTTGAATTTTGTAGACTTCAAACTCACAGAATTCTCAGCAACAGCTGTGCTAACAAGGGAATTCACATCTGGAAGTTACACTTATTGGGGAATAACTGATTGGATTTGAATTTTATGTTGGATTCAACATAACCAGGTTCAACTTCTTTTCAGCAATGATGGATTGTGATCAGTCACTTCTTCAATTCATTCAGTATAGAGTACTTTTACACCTTGGCACATGACTGCTTCAAAACTCGTCAAGTTTGGTATCTGACTCATTTTGAAGAAGAAATTTTGTCCCGGTATTCATCATTTTCTTGCTGACCTTGGCTGCCTCATGATTGGCTAGTTAAGTGGTTCTCAACCTGTGGGTCGGGATCCTATTTGGGGTCGAACGACCATTTCACGGGGGTCGCCAAACAACGCAGTCCACCATTTTTTCCCCCTTTTCCTTAGCTGTGCTACTCCCTTTTATTCTATTGGCTTTCAAAAGCCAATAGAATACACTCTCCTGAATAGAGTCTAATTCTATTGGCTTTCTGGCCTGCTGAGCCTGCCAAAAGTCCCATTCTGCAAATGGTGCTGCACCAGTTGAGTAGTCCTCGACTTACGACCGGTTGAGTAATCCTCGACTTACGACAGGTTGGGGGTCGCGGCATTAAAAAGATTGAGAACCACTGGGCTAGTTCTTCTGGCTGAAATAATGGGTCATGTGCAGTGATGGGGTTCAAATAGGTGAACAACTGGTTCTCTGTGTGGATGCCCCTTCCGGAAGTCCATTCTGGGCCTGGGCAACAAAAAATTAGCTACCGGTTCTGCCGAAGTGGTGCGAAACAGCTAACCCCTACCACTGGTCATGTGATAAGTCATGTGATTTTTCTCAGTACTCGTCGGTTTTATTATTTGTTGCTTCTTCCAGAACAAATTACCAACGGGTAATGAGGTACCACTGTATTAATTTATAATATGATTTAGTGCAGGGGTAGGCAACCTCGGCTCTTTTATGACTCATGGACTGCAACTCCCAGAATTCCTGAGTCAGCTGACTCAGGAATTCTGGAAGTTGCAGTCCATGAGTCATAAAAGAGCCGAGGTTGCCTACCCCTGGTTTAGTGTATTGTTTGAATTAAACCGCAATAAAATATGCCCTCTAGAGTCTTTTCCTAGTTAGATATGCGACATATAAATTTAATAAAGAAAATAAATTAAAACAATAAAACGAATCTTTCCCTCTGTGATATGTGATCTAAATTGCTATAGGCAGTCCTCTTTTTATGATCATTTGTTTAGCGACCATTTGAAGTCATGGTGTCACTGAGAAAAGTGGCTTATGATGAGCCCTTGAGCTTACAACCTTTTCAGGGCCCCGCAGTTACATGATTTGGCTGCTTATCAACCGGCATGCATTTATGACAATCACAGTGACCCACAACTATGGGATGGCTGTTTGTGACCTTGCCAGCTGGCTTCTGACAAACAAAGTCAATGGGGGAAGTTGTCAGGAAGGTTGCAAATCACTGTCATGTGATGTCTGGCTTAATGTTGCACCACTTAATGATAGATTTTCCACTCCAGGTTGTGTTCAGAAAATGAGGACTACCTGTATGTCTTGATCCAGCCTATCTCAAAGGACAAAGAATAGTTGATAGTTGTTATGGAACTAACATTTAAGATGGGACTATTATCTGAGCTGCATTACAAAAAGGAGGGGGAGGGGGATATAAAGATGGAAATATATGTATATTTCCAAGACCCCAGCCTGAAGATGATGAGTGGAACCTCATCACACACACACACACACACACACACACACACACACACACACACACACACACACACACAAATATATATATATATATATATATATATATATATATATATATATATATGATGAGGTTCCACTCATCATCTTCGGGCTGGGGTCTTCGGCTTCGTGCTTGTGTGAGCTAAGTGTGATCAGAGCTGCTGTCTCTCTATAAATATTGGTGGGGGTGTGTGGAGTGCTGGCTTAGTTGCTGTAGGTTGGTTGGTTGGCTGTGTTGGAGTTATTGTTTGCGGATTGTTCGGCTGCTTCATAACATCCTGAGTAGTTGAGGTGCTGGTTGTGTGCCCATTAGTCTTTTGTGTTGTAACGACCTGGGTAATGGGTTGTGTGGTGACATCCTGAGATCTAGTGTGGTGATATCCTGAGTTCTGTGTTGTAACATCCTGGGTGGTAGGCTGTGTTGTAACATCCTGAGCTTTAACGTTGTAACCTCCTGAGTTCTGTGATGTGATATCCGGAGCAGAAGACTGTGATGTAACATATCAGGCTTTGGTTTGGCTCCGAGTTTGAGGTCTAGCTCTGTGTTCATGGTGTGTGTCCATTTGCTTTATGTGGGGGTCGGAGGGAGGTGCAGCATCTGGTGATGTCATCGTGGTTTGGCTTCTGGGTGGTGGTTTCATTTCGTCTGAGGGATGGGTTTGGGCTTGGGTTTAGGTCTGGTGAGGGTGAATGGTGGTGGTGTGCTGTGTTGTTCTGGGGCCGAAGTCAGTTTTCGTGGCTAAG